AGCTCACTTTGCTTTTCAGTTTAGATGAGAAATAACAGCAAAATAGTCCAGCGAGGATAAATTCTCGTCAATGGATTGGCTTTTCCACGGAAGTTCGCCTTTGTTCGCCAAGGATCACTGTTATTAAGTGTGTGGGCCTGATGGGGGGCTCAGGTCACCCAGCAGAGGAGCCTGGGGATTCCAAAGCCACTGGGAGACCAGTGGTCTCTCCCGCCTGGTGGAGGTGAGAGTGTGGCCCTGTTCATGGCTGCCCCGGTGAAAGTCCATTCCAGTGGGAAGCAAGGAGTCTCGGCTGATACTGGGAGAACAGGACTGAAAGGACTCTGTGGTCCCACTTCAGCCTCCCCTCGCCTTCCTCTCCCTCTTCTCTTTGGTACCCAGGATCTGGCAGCAGATCTAAAGACCCAGGGTTGTTATCACAATGTCATCATCAGTTGAAACAAAATCATTCTTTGTAACTGGAATCTAGTGACTATAAACAACATATGTTATTGGGTGTTCTATTTCTAATAATTGTAATTACTCGAAAATACTTGCCATTAATATAATAACAACAGTGATTGACCAGTTCTCTGTTCCAGACCAATAACTTCACCTGAATGCACTCTTTGTTCAGGGGAAAAAAAAGAGGTAATTCAACATGCCTGGTGATAGTCAACAAAGCCAGTGTTGAAACTGGAAGACGCCCGGATGAAAGCCTTCCTAGGGATACAGGATGCTGTTGGGGAGTTGAAGGGCCACCTGGCAGCCTCCCTCTTGGCTAACAAAAGGCCTCTGTCTGCATCCCCACACTCAAAGGTTGAAAGCAAATGAAAACCTAGGGACTTCCAGAGAACCGCTGGGCCTGGGTCTCCCCTTCATTCCCAGGGTGAGTCTGGGTCTGGAAGTCCAGGGGAGCTCCAGGCCTGAGGCTGTGTGAGCCCCCCTATTGGGCAGAACTGGGAGACCTAGGCCACACTTGGACACTCACCCAGTAAGACCACTTCTTGGGTGTGGATTTCTCTTTGGTGCTCTCCAGATTATTTCCACTGATAATTACAGAACTTCAGCAATCATGTGGACCAATGGTCCCATTTTACACGTCTCTAAATACAGATCTACAGATCTCTTACACACCTTTAAACCTCCCACAATGCCCCGCATATGGGAAATGTTCAAGAAGTGGGTAACGTAGGATGAGAGGTGACCTGTAACAATGCTACAGAGTATCATGCCATGAATAAGCTCTTCCCCTGGCATGGAGAGGGGACACTTGTGCCTGGGGCTTCTACAAAGTCACCTTTCAGAGGTGTAATTTTCTTTGTTACCCCTTATTCCTGTTACCAGCTCTTCCCAGAAACAAAAATACAGACAACAAAGGAATGACATTAAAAAAAGATCATTATATTTCTGTTAGCAGCCGGGGCTTTTTTTTTAAGCTCTGAGGACAATATGACCTTCTTCCGCTGACCTGCAATGGCTGGACTCAGCCAACAGTCCACAAATATTTATTTACTTCTTTTCCCCTTATCTCCAGGAAGACGCTGCTACAACAACCATCATGAGGTGGTCGACTCTGGCCTCTCCTCTGTGTTATATTCAAAATGGTCCATTATTGAGCTGGGTAGAATGCAGCCTCCAGCTGTGGACCAGGAGTACAGCCTTAAGACTTCCTCCTCGGGCTTCCCTGGTGGCGCAGTGGTTGAGAGTCCGCCTGCCGATACAGGGGATGCGGGTTCGTGCCCTGGTTCAGGAGGATCCCACATGCCGCGGAGAGGCTGGGCCCGTGAGCCATGGCCGCTGAGCCTGCGCGTCCGGCACCTGTGCTCCACAACGGGAGAGGCCACAACAGTGAGAGGCCTGCGTACCGCAAAAAAAAAAAAAAGACTTCCTTCTCTTAGAATAAGTAAGCATCCAAGAAAAAGAGAAGCCAAAGTTAATTCCATTCAGTGAAGTGATAAGGGAGGCATGGAGATTCCAAGATACCTGTCACTGTGATGGCTTGCCAGGCTCCCGGTAAAAGGGCTCATGTAAAATGGAAAGAGTTGGCGGTGGGGCCACAGCGGTGGGTTTGTCCTTCTTCACATCCCTCCATCCGTCACGTTCCTCCAGGCTTCTTCCTCTTCTGGGGACCCTGGCACCACACCCTCTGAAGTTCTGTGAATCCCCAGTGACCTCTGCCACCACCAGGTGCACATGGGTGCTGTACCTGGCTTGCAGTCTGGGCACCTGAAGACATTATTCTTTTATGGAGATCCCTGAATTGCACTGGGAAACGTGGTGGGCTATTGTTTTATTCTTTTCTAGGTTTTTTTCCTCTTTCTGAGCAGCAGATGCCAGCTGCTTTTACATATTTAAAAGAAAGAAAGTTGGGACAGGAGGGGCAAACAAGACAGAAAAGGCAGAAATTTGAAAACCTCCTTCAAGGTCATTAAATGATTAGGGCCCTTTGAGATCCACCAGAGAGCTCAATTGTCTCTGTTTTCATTTTATTCTTGGGCCTCTCCACACAGGAAATCCCTGACACATACACCAGCCTGGAAAGCTGGAGAGAGCCTGAGAACCTCTTTGTCTCCACTGCCATCAAGTTACTTGTAGGTTCCTGAACAACATAAGAAGAGGTGCTTCCTGGGCTCTTAGTCCCTGGTTGGGTGGGTCAACCAGCCCTTCTTCTGCTTCTGACCCTGCACCCCAAGACAAAGGCCCAGGATTGAGGAGAATGGATAGCCTTCTTTTAAATTTCTTTTTTAAAAAATATTTTATTTATTTATTTGTCTGGCTGCGCCAGGTCTTAGTTGGGGCACGCGGGATCTTTCAGTTGCGCATGTGGGCTCTTAGTTGCAGCACGCGTGCAGGATCTAGCTCCCCAACCAGGGATTGAACCCAGGCCCCCTAAAGTGGGGGCGTGAAGTCTCAACTGCTGGACCACCAGGGAAGTCCCGAGAATGTACAGCCTTTCATCAGGGTCTTCATGCCAAGGTGTGCCCCTTGGCTGTCAGACCCCTGTCTGTCCTATTAGCTTTAGCTCCACTTTGTCTTAGTTAAAAAAAAAAAGAAGCAGAGAATTGACATATTAAAAATTAGATTCACATTCCTACTTAAAGCCAAGACATAACCCCCTTTCCCCCTTTCCCTATGAAGGGATAATCTAGGTCTGGGTCTCTTTTTCGGATTACGAATTCAGAGCAGCCGTTCCCAGCCATAGACAGACCCCATCGCAGAGGCGGAGGGCCTGTGTCTAGAGACTTCCATAGCCTCTTCTTGTTCTGGTCTGAAACCTACAAGTGACTTGATGGGAGCAGAAAGAAAGAGGTTCTCAGGCGCTCTCCAGCTTTCCAGGCTGGTGTATCTAGCAGGGATTTCCTGTGTGGAGAGGCCCAAGAATAAAAGGAAAGCAGAGACACCTGAGGGATCTGGTGGATTTCAAAGGCTCCTAATCATTTAATTACCTTGAATGAGGTTCTCAAATTTCTGCTTTTTCTGTCTTTTTTGCCCCTCTTGTCCCCCCCACCCAATTGGGAGCATTCTCTCCCCTTGACAACCTCACCATTCCTTGTCTTTCCCTCCGCAAAGGATTGCTCTGCCCATTCTCTACCCCGAGAACTCCTGCTCAGCCACCAAAGCTTGGGAAAGTGGGATCCGGGGCTGGAAATTTCTCATCTCCAGACACACTTCAGTCTTTTCCTGGGTGAGGAGAGCTCAACACAGCAGATGCTGGTGGTGAGGTGTCCTCCGCTCCTCCCTTTCAGAGACAAGACAGCTTCCCTCCTGCCATTAAGGGTTTGGCCTAAGTTAGGGTTCTTAGTGGGGTGGGAGTCTGGGGGTGGGCCTCTCTGTTCTCACCATGCCCCGTCCAGTCCCCCAACAGCCCTTATGCTTTCTGCACCTGGACAGTTCCCTGCTCTCAGTTATGGCTTTGCCACATGGTCATGGCACCTGTGGGGCTGTCTGAAGGGGACTGGAAGGTACACCCAAGACTTGGGGGTAGGAGAGATGTTGGAGCCTGAGTCCAGCGTTGGCCGAGAGAGTGCCCTGTCCTTGCATTCAGTGGGGTCTAACCAACACGATACAGATATAGATATAGGTATATCACCTCTCTATCTTCCTATTCTCAGCAACAGCGTTCTAAACCACTCTGTTCAGAACTACTGGCCCAACGGCTGGAGTCACACAAGCACCATAATGTTTGAACAACAGCAGACCTTTCCAAAATGTGTTTACACCCATTATCCTTGAGGCCTTTGCCCACAAACTTACAGTCTCAGAGAGGAAACAACACAGGCACAGAGCATTTCTATTATGGTGATGAAGAGTTTTCAAGGCTAAGACCAAAGATCAGGACGGAACAGAAACAGTGCCTTAGCCACGGAGCCTGACTCTGCGTCAGTGATTCGCAGGCTGGACCGCGCAGCAGGATCGCACGGTGCTGACCGCAGCCCCGAGGGGTCACCCAGCTGGTGCAGAGGGTGGAGAGGGAGCTTTTGCATCTCCGACAAGGTCCCAGGTGATGAAGATGCTGCTGCTGCTGATTTGGGGACCACACGTTGAAAACCACCCTCAGGTTAGTGACCACCCTCTCATTCTTATCTTTCTCTCCCTTTTACTCAACTTGACTTCTTTGATCTCAGTTCTGCTCTGTGGACGGTGCTCTGAGGGGCCGCTGAGCAGTCTGTACACAGGTCTGCTGCGTACTTACGATTATTTCTAGGACACACACACACACACACACACACACACACCTCTGGGATTGTTCTGGAACTCACCTGGTGTGTAGAGGGTCCTGCTGGATGGAGTGACCTGGAATGCACCTCTGTCTGGTAACTGAACCCCCAGGACTGACCCAGAGCTCAGAGCTTTGCTTGTTTACTGCTTTCGTGAAGCAGTCCCTTAAGAGTCGGGGTTGGGGAGCAAGGGGGTGGTCCTGCGGGATTTGCCTTTGTTTTCTCTTCTTAAGGGAAGACCTGCCTGCGTGTCCCACGCTCACAGCAAGCGGCACTCACGGCTCTGGCTGCGGGACCTACCTCGGGCAGCCTCACCCGGCCTTCCTGGAAGGAGCAAGTCTTGGGGTCATGGGTGCAGACATGCCGGTATTTACACCAGTGGCAGCGGTATGGGCTCTCCACGCAGGACAGGCACCTGGGCACAGAGGAGGAAGAGGCACACATCATAGAACCTGCATGAACCGAAAGCAGAAAGCCTAAGACTCTAGGGCCTAGCAAAACATGTTTTCATAGTAGGAGAAACCACCTTCAAACACTCAGGAAGACTAGATCTTGGAAAAATCCATCCCTTTTCTCTCCAAGTCCTCAGGAAGCCAAGAGTCTCTGGCCTCCGCCCTCACTCAGGTAGCTGACAACCCCGATCCCCCAAGAGCCTCATCAACCACCCTCCATTTTTATAGGATGGCGCCCTCTTTTGCTGAATTGGGAAACAATGAAGTCTGGAGTAGAGGGGCTCATCCAGAGAACCCATAAGAGTTAGGGTTAACAGTGAAATTGACTTTTAATTCAAATTGACTCCAGGGTCTCTGCTGACAAGGACCCACGTGGACACACCTTTGCAGAGGAAGGTCCTGAGGCTACCCCCTCAGTGTGATGGGCAGAGTTGGCAACCCTACCTCTACTCACCATTCCCAGGAAACACAGGCAACTTTATAAAAGCTACTTCCTGTTTAAAACCCAACATGGTTCCCTTCTTCCAAAGGGTCGAACCCAAATGCCTTGCCATGCAGGCCAAGGCCTCTGTGGTGTCTAGATCCACTGTCCCCACGTGTGTCTGGTGCTTCAGCCAAGAACAGGCCACTCTCTCCCCATGCTGTCCTTCTACCTGGAGTAACATTTCCTCTACCTCATCATCTCCTCTTCCTTCTTTGACCAATGGAGAGTTGGTCTCATTGGGGCCCTCATCCTATTCATCCTTCTGTTTCTGTCTCTGGAACAGTACTGGTCTTGTTGTATATATTTTACTTATTCATTGTCCTGTTCATCCACTGGTCCACCAGGCCATGACTCTTGGTGGGTAGAGATCGCGTCTTTGCATCTTATTAATGTTTGATCCTCCTCGTTTAATGAGTAACACACTGTCTTGCATATAGGATGCTTAAAATCGTTTTACGGACTGAATGGAAACTTCAAATATGATTTCATCTACCTATTCTACTTTCTTAGAGGGGCAAAAGGGGAGTGAGGGATTAGGTCACCACGTGGTAAAGACATGGCAAGCTCTGTGGGAAGAAGCAGGAAGAGAATTCCAATGTCGAAGCAATTTGGCTGGGAGGACTGGCTGCCTCTTACTTGGGGTGCCAAAGAGAGCCACAGCTCTGGACTCACAGCTGTCATAACCAGACAGAGCCCACGAGCCTAGAGTCCCAAATACCTATGGTTATGTTAACTAGCTTGTCCTATGTGGAGAAGAAAACAGAACATTATATTAAAGCAAGCAAAGCTTTTTGAGATCAGGTTCTATGGCTTTCAAACTGTGCTCTATGGAATGCTGGGGGTTCCGTGGAGCTTCTTTGGAGACTGTGTGAGATGCGTGGGGTTCCTAGACAGAGGGGTTCCAGGTCCCCTCGACCCTCAACCATCTCTTGCTTTCATCTATTTTGTATATTGGGCTTTCACACCTAATTTTGGTTGAAGAAAGGTTTCTATGGTGAAAAACAGGTTTGTACCTTCTCAATATTATCCAGGCCCATCATTTTGGAGAGGAAATAATAATATAGTAACAGTAAAATGTACAGTGCCTGAACAGTCGGCCAGACATGGCTCTAAGCGCTCTCTTTGTAATAGCTCTTCTAGCCCTCGCAGCCATCCTGTGGGCTGAGCAGGGCTGATGAGCGGGCAGCAAGCAGCGATGTCCCAGCCGAGGGGACCGTGCCCTTGCCATGTCAGCTGTTAAATATCTGGGTGAGGGCTTCCCTGGTAGCGCAGTGGTTGACAGTCCTCCTGCCGATGCAGGGGACACGGGTTCGTGCCCCGGTCCAGGAAGATCCCACATGCCGCGGAGCGGCTGGTCCCGTGAGCCATGGCTGCTGAGCCTGCGCATCCGGAGCCTGTGCTCCGCAACGGGAGGGGCCACAACAGTGAGAGGCCCGCGTACCAAAAAAAAAAAAATCTAGGTGACATACCAGGAGGAGGACTACTATTTCCTCATTTACAGAGGATACTGGGGCACAGAAGGGTTACTTTTCCTAGCTGGTCTGACTCCAGAGCCCAAGCCTCCATCGTCCGTGGCTTCCCCTGGGAAGTGGAGGCTTCAGTCAAACAGAGCCAGAGGTGGAGCCGGAGCCAGAGCTAGAAGCCCACCCCAGGCCGAAGCCTGCCTCTGACCATCGCCAGCCTGAGTCCCGACCCAGCCTGCAGGGGACTGTGCAGAGCTGAGCGTTCATTCAGGTGACTTGTTGGACCACTGCCTGGACACACGTGGCGCCTTCTCTCCCTCCCTGGACCCCTCTTCTCACCTGGGGTGCTGGCCGCTCTGTTCTTCAGGTAATAAGCACCCCCCTCCTCAGCAGATGGTGGAAAGTGAATCACGTTAGCAGACTTATGCCAGAGAAGGTGTAAGGGCTAGGGACTTGGAATTCCCCAGCCCACAGGTTATCACGCTGCCTGTTCTAGCCTCTTCCCATTAACCCTGTGGGTGCCAGAGGAGGGAGTCTCTCTCCTTCTAGGGGTGAAGGAGGTAGCCTTACAGGGCCTCTAGATGGTAAGTCCTTGGGAAAGTGGTGGGGTCTTCTATCTTTGGATGAACTTTGACCCCAGAAACAGGGAGCTGAGTGAGGCTGGAGGGGCACTTACGAATTGTGGACGCTGCAGTTGTAGAAGACAAAGCTGGTGCTGGCAAAGGTCATGCCTGTCTCCTTCGACTTGAGCTGCAGCTGGACGACATGGTGGTCGCCTGTGGGCGGAGCCAGCCATGAGGTGGAGGTGGGGTGGGGGCGGCCACTGCCCCGTGTCGGGTCCCAGTGAGAGTAATGCACCCTGGCAAAGGGGAGCCCACTCTCCAGGGGGTGTGCTCAGCTCTACCGGATTCGGATGCGGTCGGGCCCGGTCCCAGGACAACCCCGAGAACAGCTGCAGGGGCTGATTCCGGTCTACTTCTCCTTCCACACTGTATTCCCAGCACCCACCTCTCATTCGCTCACCAGGTCCTTTCCTGTCCACACACACACACACACACACACACACACACACACTCACTCTGACAGGCATTCAAATGTGCAGTCACATACACGATGTCCATGCAGCCCTCACAGAATTACAAATACACACATTGATTAGCTACCAGGAGAAACACGTAGACTCTTGGCAATGCTGCCACAAATTATGCCAGAGGTTTTACACATAGGTGTGCGAGCACTCACGAGCTCGTTCCCCATCTCTGTAAGGAAAGACCCTGTGCTGACACCCCCTCGTCTGGTGGGCTCCATTCGGGCAGACATCCCTGGAATCGTCAGCTGGCACCAGGGAGGAGCTGGGGCCCATGTTTAATTCACAGCCCTGACCCCAGGCCCCTTGTTCTGTGCCTTCCCTGAGAGGCTCATTAATCAATCAGCTCGGAACAAATGTGACAAGCCCAAATGGGAGGGCCAACATGGAATCAGGCTGCCCAGGCAGGCCTGTCCCTCTCAGCGCTGGGCCTCTGTCCACTCTGTCCTTCTTGTGGCAGCCGGCCAGCAACAGGAAGCTCCGGGGAGGCGGGGCGGGGGTGGGGGGGGGCAACGGTTCAGGGTCAGAGACCCAGCAGTGCAGGCAGGGGGTAAGGAAGCAGATGACCCCTGCACCCCATCCCTCCTCCCGTGCCCCTCCACGCCAGCCCTCTCATGCTCCAGCATGACCTCTGAACTTGACCGGGACACTCTGCAACTGTGCTGGCCTTTCCCTCCCCCACCCTCTTGGCACCGCTCCCCACCCAGGGTGAGGTTGACTCCTGGATGCTCACCTGGTTTCAATTCCAAAGGCAGCGGAGGGACACTCCATCCCCCTCTTCCTGTGACACCCCTACCAACGCACGCCGCTTCCTCTGACCCTCCCCTCCTGTGCGCTCCCTCGATCCCGCGTGTCTGTCCTGAGTTCTCATCATCCAGGCGGCGGGAGGAAAGACTTGCCACCCCGCTTTGCCTCTGGGGACCACTCACCGTTCTCCGTGATGATCCGGGGCACCTCCTTGGCTGCTGGGGAGTGGCACTGGATCTGACTGCCTACCACCAGCCCGTCCATCTCTGACAGGTCCTCGAAGGTGCAGCTGACCCCAGCTGACAGCTCTGGGACATTGTACGTCTCCAGGACCAGCTGTGAACAGCCAGGCAGGGGGAGAGAGAGGAGGAGAGAGACATGGGAAAAAGAAGGTATGGAATAAAGGAAGAAAGAGGGAGAGCAAGAGAGATCAGAGAGAAAGAGAAGAAAGAAAAGCGTGAGGCAATATTGACGTACAGAAGAGGACACCCAATTTATGACCGGAGAGGATAGAGAAGGTGGTGGGATGGTAAGAGACAGAGACAAAAGAAATAAGCATCTGAATGGATTTGGCCCCAGCAAACAGAACGTTTAGGGGATTTGTAGGTGGAGAGAGGCCCTGGGCAGGACTGAGGCCCCGAGGAACTGCTGCTCAGGCTCCTCTCCGTTATCCCCAACTTTGGAAAATGGCAACACCAACCAGCAGGTGCCCAGCAAGAACGTGGGCGCCACCGCCCCCTTTTCTCCCTCTGCACATATATCTTTCCCATCTCAAAGACAAGGATAGGGCTCCCAACACTTTCCCCCTCTTGGTCACACTTCCAGTCATTTCTGGTGTCAGTTTTCCCTGTCTTTCTACCCCTTGCGCATAAAGCCTCTTCCCCGATAGTCCTGCAAACCTCCCCATCTTCCATCCCCGGGGACACATTCTTTAACATCCCTGCCCTGTTCTGGAGCGGCCTTGCTGGCCAGCTAGGCCCAGCCCTCCTGAGGGGTGTTGGGCTGAGACCCTTTTGGGCGGGGGGAAGGCTCTTCCAACATCCGTGGATCCCGGTCCCACGGCCTTACCAGGACATTGTACTGAGAGACGGAGATGTTGCTGGGATGGACGGTCAGCCGGACGCACTGCTTCATCTCAGAGGCAAACCTGCGGGGCTCTCTGGACCGCTCACAGCGCTCCTTCCGGGTGCACCTGGGAAGGACAGAGCGACTGATCAGGGACTCAGGAGGAGACCGCTGGTCCAGCGAGGGGCCGGCGCGGAGGTCAGGCATTGCCAGCGGCTCCTAGGACATGTCCGAACTGAGCATGCCCAGGACTAACCTTCTAGTTTCCTTCCTCCAGCCTGGTCCTCCCCCATCAAGCCCAAACTGGAAGAAGAAGGTAATTCCAATCACTGGTTGTCACATGCGAAACCCTGAGAGTCACCCCAGAGTGCCCTCAGGGCCTCCTCATTCACAGAAAGAGCTGGAAGTGCTGTCTATTCCCCCTCCCCACTCAGCCTCAGCCCCCCGCCCCCCTTCGCAAACCGAGACTGTTCTCTCCACGTATCTCCTCTTTCCGATTTCCTCGGCTTTGTGCACGCCAGCTCCTCTGTCTGCACTGTCCTCTCGCCACATTTTTCCCCATTCCAACTTCTACCTGTCCCTCTAGACATGGTTCAACTATAATGCATCTGCCGTGGGCCCCTCTTCCCACCAACCCACTCCCACCCCGGGCAACGTTAAGAGCACTTTGGTGTTTCCCACCGTCTAGAACTTCTTAGACTGTATGACAATTATTAGGCTAAGCGCAGCCCTCTCCTACCAAGTGTGAACTTCTCAAAAGAAGAAACTATGCCTGACTTACTCTGGAATCCCCTGCATATCTCCTGCCCAGCAGACAGAAGGTAAACATAGGTGGGCAGGAGGGAGGGGAGGAGGGATCAAAGTTGCCAAGGGTAGAAGTTCAGGGCACGCTCTGGAGCCAGGCTGCGCTGGATCCGAATCCCAGCTCCATGGCCCAGCATCACTGCTGTAGAAGGTTCGCTACTGCCTAGTGTCCGTGTCCTATTATTGTTCAAAGTGTGCCTTGTCATCAGTGGATCACATCCAGGTGACCTGGGATCTTACGGTCGTAACTGATGGAGGCTTGTGAAAGATGCACGTAAAAGTCAGGGTGGTCACCCAAATGCACACATCACACATAGGGGAAGGCGCTTAAGCTCTCAGCCGGGGCCAGGGCTTGCCCTGCCTTCCAGTGGGAGTTGACTGCTCGGAGGTATTTGACTTTCAGGAAACAGTATTTAATCCAAGCTGGATAAGCCTGGTGAACATGGAGCTGCGCTGAGTGGCCATGATTTGGCACCTCTGGGCTACTGATTCTGCTGTGGGGTGGCAGTGAGGGAAAGCAGGGTCCTCAGAGGGACGTGTTGAGGTAAGATGGGACTGCAGGGAAATCCCTCCTGAGTGCTGATCTCTTTTGGTTAAAGAGGAGAGACTCTGCCGAGAAGGGAGGATGTCAGGGGCTGTTGCAGGAGCGGAGGAAGCACCAGGCAAGGAGCTGAGTAGGGAAGGGAACAGCCAGGGATATGGAAGGGAACCTCTGTCTCAAGAAGCAGACGGGTGAGGGGTAGGGTAAAAGGTGAGGGGAGAGGGGCACCTGGATACCCTGATCTGCTCTCGGGGTGACTCTCAAGGCACAGAGGAAACCTGCGGGGGCCTCTCCTCCCAGCCACGGGGAAGGAAGTATGCCATCCACATCACCTGGAGTTACCAAATAGAGTCCAGGTAGAAAAGAGGCAACTCCTTCTCTCTTGCAGTGGGTACAAAGGAACTTCGTTGAGGGACCTCAAGACAAGGTCTATCTGCATGGTTTGCTGCTCCCGGAGTTCATGAGGCTGCATCTTGGCCTCGGTGGGAGGGACGGCCTAATAGTGGAGGGTCTGAGAGGAGAATTTAGCTGAGAAATCACTGAAGGCGTGAACTAAAGGAAGAAAGGGGAGATATGGACAGAAAGGATGACCTTGGAGTAAAGTGGATGTGTAATGCAGAAATAAAACACAATTCTGAATAAAATAATCATGGCTACTAGTCATTGAGCTCTTATTGGGCACTGTGATAAGGGGCTTACAGTTTATGTCACTGAGCTCTCCCAGAGATGATGGGAGGTAGGTAACCATTTTAAACCCCACCTTACAGATCAGGAAACTACAGAGAGCAGTTAGTCACTTGTTCAAGGTCATCAGCTAATCAGAGGGAGCCTGTATGAACACAGATGGACTCTGGAGCCTCCATTCTCACCCACTGTGTTCTACCTCCCTGAAGCTTCTAGACTAAACCCGTTTTCCTTGCCATCCTGATGTCCCCTTCTGTGCTTAGGGCAATTTAAAAATGTCCTCTCAATCTTATTCTCTATGCTAATTGCTGTTTTTGCCTGCCACTGGAAACACTTTGAATATTACTGAGACTTGTGAATTCTCCAGGACCTGTCCAGGAATCTCATCCCAAGGGTGAAAGGTCAGATGTGAGTGTGGTTGTCTCCAAGGCACCCCCAGGCTGTTCTAGCAGACCCATGACAACAAGGGCATCTGCCTAAAAGTCTGGGAAGTTAATTTACCAGGCTAGCTCCTCTGCGAGGACTTCATTACCTCCGGCCATTAAGCTAATGTTATGGACTTTTCCAGGGTGTCTGCACTGACATCACTATTAATAGTGTTATTACTCCCATTAACAGCAGACCCAGAGAGCTGGTACAGACTTCAATTATTCACTGACTCCCCAACTTTGAAGTTCCTATTTCCAAGAGCAATCAGTAGATCTGAAAAATGTCTTTGATTAAATTATGCAGAGAGGAAAAATGAAGCTGCTTTCAGCCCAAACATCACCTGAAGTTACCAAATAGAGTCTAGATAGAAAAGAGGCAACTCCTTCTCTCTTGCAGGAGGTACAAAGGAACTTGGTTGAGGGATCTCAAGACAAGGTCTATCTGCATGGTTTGCTGCTCCCAGAGTTCATGAGGCTGCATCTTTCCACGGCTCCCGAGAGCCCACAACTAAACAGGTATCATCTCCCACAGATTTAGGTCTTACCCGGGAAGCCACCCGTGGCTTACAATTTTAAACATCCCATCTAACTTTGTAATCTTGGGCAAATTACTTAACCTCTTTGCTGCCTCAGTTTTCTCATCTATAAAATGGGGACAAAATAGTACCTACCTAATAGGGTTATCATGAGGGTTAAAAGATGATGCAAGTAAAGCATTTAGAACAGAGCACAGCTCATACATAAAAAGCCCTCCATAAAACCTAGTATTACCCCATCCCTCCTCTGCTTTCCCACCCAGCCCCTCCAAACTGCAGCTGATGTAGAAGCACAGATCTCCTCCCAGACTGGACCACAGGGCAAATCAAAGATGAAAAGACAGCAATGGCTGCAGCACTTTTCCTCTTAATGACGGAGGGGGAGCCCCAGATGGCAGGAGGGAGCAAAGAGGAAAAAAAAGAGTAGTCTGGGCTGTAGCTCTGCTTTCTTCCTAGCTGTCAAAGGGTATTGAGAACTCAGCTCTCTTCGTGGAAAGTCAAGTTTAAGGTCAGTGTCAGGGGTGTTTTGACATTTCTACTATCCCTCAGGGCCCATGAGGGCGGAAGCTACAAATGTTCAAAAGCACAGACAATTGACCTTCGAAGTGATAGGAAAATGTAGGGGAAGAATGGATTCCTTCTGAGTTCTTAAAGGGTCTGTCAGGGGAATGGCCTCCTGCCCTTCTGGGACTATGATTTTCCATTAGGTCAGGCAAGAGCTAGGGAATGTGCAAAGGGTTAATTCATGACCCCTGGGCTGGGGGGCTTAGATGTTTCCTTCAAAGGGGCTCCAGGTACTTCCGAAAGCACGTCCTTGCAATCCACTGTGGGGACACCTTGGACATGGCAGAAGACCCTGCTTCATCCATTTTCCAGGCAGGACTCAAATAGTGCATGCTATATGGCTTTGAGTTTCCAGACAGTCATCCCTGCCAGCACCATTGCCACCCCCAGGAATCGCAGACCTGCAGGTGGCCAGCAGGAAGCAGGCTCCAGGAACACAGCCCGGGCCCCAGAACTGGAGTCTGGCCCCCCTAGGCTCTTCTTCCCTCCCCTTCTCCCTCCACTTTCTCTGCAGTTGGTCCTCCAGCTCCAGTTCAGAGGTGCTAAAAGCCCTTGGGGACAAAGGCCCTGGCCCCTGGAGGGGTTATTATTCAAGTCAGTGGTTCCAATGAGATTATCTTCTCTAAAGAAGCAGCTACCACCGCCTCCCCTAAGCCTGAACTTTCACTGCTGGAGAATTCCCAGCCAAGTGGAAAATTAGAAGGGAGAGGAATGGAGAAAGGAAGGGGGTAAGGGAGAGGGAAAGAGGTGGTGATTAAGTTCTCTAGAAATTAATTCCTAAATGCAGTGATGGAAATATTAACCCCCAGCGCTGCTGGCTGGGCAAGCAAATTTCCATTTGGAAGTGTGGCTCTCTGTGAGTCCGGCCTGGGCGAGCCTCCAAACCGCAGTGGAGGTGGGGGAAACCACCGCTGGTCCGTCTCTCCAGGCCCTCCAGGTAGTGTGGGTCTACCAGCCTCGGATATCAGAACTGGCTCCTTGCTTCTCCCTGTAGGTGATCCCCCATCCTTAACACTTCACGTTGGTCATGGCCTGTGCTTGAAGTGCAATATTTGGGGAATCTGTGTTTAGAACATGAGGAGGTTGGAAACAAATGGGGTAGGGCTCCCTAAATGCCCTTTACAGAAAAGGTAAGAGGAACCTTATTCAAGTTGGAGATCACGGGGGCTCTCTGATCACTGTCTCCACATCTGGGAACACTGACGAGGGAAGAGACTGGGTTTCCTAACATCGTTACCCTTGCCCTCTTCAGGAATGCCCCCAGAAATGGGCAGGTGGCATGTGTAGCTTGGAGGAAGGCAGACTGGATAGTAAAGGGAGGCCTTCTAGGCAGATGGTGTGTAAGGGGTTTCTTATATGAAGGGCACAGACCAGGTGAGGACTTTCAGTACCGTGACTCTAGGACGTGGAACCACAGATACAGAGGGCCAACTAGGGGATCTGACGTTCATGGATTTTGGTACCCGCTGTGGGTCCTGGAACCAATCCCCTGTGGATTGGTTCTGTATCTACTGAGCTGGGGTGAGAAAAATTCAAATACCCTAGGATCTCGTCTGGGACTCTTTCCTCT